AAAATTTTTTTTTTTTTTTTTTTTTTTATAAAAGAAAAAAATCGTTTTTTTTTTATTTGATTTGTATAAGAATTTAAGTTTTTTTTTTTCGATTTGTGAGTGTATGTACGAATTGACTAGAATTTAGTCGGTTGAATATATAATTGCTATTCGCTATTTCGAGTTTGAATCAAGGCCGATCGGAACCTCGTATACTCGAACGAAAGGTGTACTTGTTCTGGCTATCTTGTGGTATTCGGTATCTGTCGCAAGTGATCATTGCGCGTTTAAGTCGACCGACTCTAACAGGCTCGCGTGAATTTCTATTAACCCTAACCAGCTTCATGAGTATAGTACTCGAAACAAGTATATGAGTTAGGTAACAGCGCACAAAGAGGTAATTATCTGTATTGAAAAATGTTGTTCGAAAACATTTTACCTTATTTTTTTTTTTTATTAATTTACATTATATCACTCAAAATATAATATTCAAACGTGAATTTAATTAATTCTTACCGTATAAATACGGTATAGTAAATCGACCAAATAAAAAATTACAAAAAAATTCTATATATAGTATAATTAATAAATAATTTCAAAAATATATGAATGTAAATAATTTTTTGACCAATTTTTCGACATAAGTATCCTGTTAGGCAAACGAGCATTGAACGCACGGAGAAAATCACGTTATGCAAACATTGTCAAGAGAAATATTGGATCCTGTTTCCAACCAGGAAATCGAATAGAAATTTCATCGTTACGATTAAAATGAAACGCGGTTTCATTGATATCCAGCGTGTTACGAGGAAAAACTAAGTATCAGTGAAAACGTATCGCACGACGGCCAACATTCCTTACGCAACGATTTTTTGAAAGCCACTGAAACTTCGATTCCTTTTCTCAACCGTAATTTCTCTCTCCGCACGTGACGAAAGAAACAAGTGAACGAGAAAAATACATATATACGTACATAATTCATATTTATAAAAAAGAAAAAAAAAAAAATAAAAAAGAAATGGATATTTTTCTATATAAGCAAACCGCGAAAACGAACAACCGTAACGTAAGTGTCATAATCGCGATTGCGGTTGCCAGACCGAGAAATTGAATTGCATCAAATCGCGAGAAGATTAATAACTTTTGACCGTGGAATCGTTTTATTCCCTTAACCCACTGCCTTAACACGTAACATCGAGTCATACCCTCGATTATACTCGGATAATCATTCATAATTGCAAATAATAATTATCATTCCAGTTGGAGGAGAATTCCATTTTTTTTTTTATACTATAAAAGTATACTTGTTGCTATTCGACATTATGATTTCTAAGGTAGAAGATACATTATTGCAATCGCGTATTTGAATATATTCATACTGTTGGTGTAATAAACTACCATACACATGCGAGTAAGTGAAACTTTCGTTCGTTCATTCTCTTTTTCTTGATTATATCTCGTTTCCTATAATTAGAATTATACGACTATATATACGAGGATAAATAATAATTTTTACAACACATTTTTTTTCTTCTTTTTTTAGACTTTTCTTCCGAATCAAAAAGTGAGGAAGAATTCGCATACTTTCGTGACACGTACGTAAACGTATGTAACTTTAAAACAACTTTGTTTAAAGAAAGGAAGGGGGAAAAAAAATAATTAAATAAATTACACAGAGTTTCGAATGATTCTTTCCATTTAATTTTTTTCAGAAGAGAATAATTCACGCCTTTAACAAACGTCTATCTCTCAGTACTCAACGTGACGAGAGGGGTAAGATTAATTGCCCCCTCCTTTCCCCCTCCCCTCGTTTTAAAATTCCACGCATCGAGAGGCGCACGAGAGATTGCGAAAACATTCGAAAATAGAGAGCAAGCACTTTTCTCGATTTTTTTTCGGTGAACGGTCCCGGGCTAAGAGTGCCGCTTCGGCTAGTTTTCGTGACATTTGTGAGCCGTATCACGTATTCCTCGAGGGGTACGCTTCGTCAATCGGCCAATCCAGAGAGTTAGCCTGGCTTGCACGAGCCAAGCAGAGAAAGTGAGTTTCGTACGTGAATGTCACAGGTCAGAATCCAACGGTGGTGTACATGCGCGGATCTACAACGACAAACGCGCGGCCGCGGTGTACGTCGGTTGCCTCCGGTTGCACGCCGGTTTTGTCCACCGATACCCACGTAACGATCACCAGATTGCCCCCTCCGGAGAGGACGAGCAAATTTCTTGGCTTCTATTTTTCGATCCTTGGCGAAAGTTGACGAGACTTTTTAACTTTTGAACGCGCTCGCTCGCCCTCTATTTCTTTCTTTTTTCTCCTCTCTCTCTCTCTCTCTCTCTCTCTCTCTCTCTCTCGCTCGCTCTCTCTCTCTCTCTCTCTCTCTCTCTCTCGCTCGCTCTCTCTCTCTCTCTCTCTCTCTCTCTCTCGCTCGCTCTCTCTCTCTCTCTCTCTCTCTCTCTCTCGCTCGCTCTCTCTCTCTCTCTCTCTCTCTCTCTCTCGCTCGCTCTCTCTCTCTCTCTCTCTCTCTCTCTCTCGCTCGCTCTCTCTCTCTCTCTCTCTCTCTCTCTCTCGCTCGCTCTCTCTCTCTCTCTCTCTCTCTCTCTCTCGCTCGCTCTCTCTCTCTCTCTCTCTCTCTCTCTCTCGCTCGCTCTCTCTCTCTCTCTCTCTCTCTCTCTCTCGCTCGCTCTCTCTCTCTCTCTCTCTCTCTCTCTCTCGCTCGCTCTCTCTCTCTCTCTCTCTCTCTCTCTCTCTCTCTCTCTCTCTCTCTCTCTCTCTCTCCTTTATTTTTTTTCTCAGTCCTCGATAAACTCGAGGAGATTTGATTGATTTTTATGAAAAATGAAAAGAGTGCTGTTTTTTATATATATGAAAAAATAGGAAAGATTAGAAGATAGAAAAAGTGGAAGTATGTAAGAATTATTATATATCGATTCACAAATTTTGCTTCTCTTTTTTATTCGAGAAATTATTAAATTACGGGATGATGGAATTTTCCAGAGAAATGGAATTTATAGAGTGGAGTATTAGCGGGTAAAAAAAAAAAGATGATAAAATCGAGATTCTGAAGGTAGAATATCTGACGGGAAGTAAATTGCTCGCGAGCAATGGGCGTCAGATGCTGTCACGGAATTTCTCGCCGATCAAGATACCCCGCTCTATTGCCTCTGCAACGTATATATTCGCGTATATATTAGCTTCGTTTCGCCATATGCTCGAACCGACTTCAATATTTTCTGCCTGTCGAAGCTCGAGAAATCATCGATTCCCTCTTACTATGGGACTAATAACCAGCCAAAGCTGGTAAAGAATATTATTATTATTATTATTACTTAAAGTCGCTTTCAAAAATATTAAATTTACGATTATTTAATTTCTTTCTTCTAAAATTAAACATTTTCCTTATTTTATTTTATTATAATAATCACGTAAATTCATTTGCAGAACGCGTAACATCCTCGTTTGCTTGTTGAAACTAGTTGTAAAATATATATCTTCGAGAGCAATTGTAACTGCATCGAGGAAAAATGGAGTTTCGATTCGAGGAAGAGCAAGTCTAGATTATTAACTTCCTGTTGTTGTCGATTACTCGCTCTATTGACGTTCTCCCAGGACGAAAAGAGTTGTGTATCGATACTTTACCTTTCACTATCGCTCGACATCTTCGCTTTTCGACCTCGCAGGACTCCCTGCATTTCCTGCCACGGTGCGGAATGTTAATTAATTAACCACACAACATCAATCAAACGTTCCGTTACGCGGAGAGAATCCATCATGACGATTATGTTATTATTGTAACCTCTTTCTGGTAATAAAACTAGTGATTTATATATATATATATAGATAATACTGTATTTATTGTGTTTGTACGAGAGAATGGCCGAGAGAGAAAGCAAAGGAACGTGAATTCGATTGCAATAGATCCAACAGTTTAAATAAAAATAACCGTTCGTGTTGAGTGAAAAAAAAAAAAAATCTCACGTTTGTAAATAAAATTGTATAGCATATTGTGAATAGGCTCCATACTTCATTAGAAAAAAAAAAAAATATCGACGAAAGTCGCAAACGTTTAACGAGTTAAAGAAAATACTTTCTTTGTCTTTGTGTTATCCCAAGCTAATTAACTTTTCACTTTTGTATCATAAATGTGTATATCATGATAATAAAATTTTTGTATCGGCCATCTGGCCATTTACAAAGAGATTGAAAACCATTACTCTACTCTCACTTATCAAATATTTGTATTTCTCCACTTAATGTTCTCTCCTTTCTCCTTTCTTTAATACAATCTTTTCTCCAAGATAAATAATTAAAAGTGTCCATGTCGACGTTTCACAGATTCATAGCGATGAGCTGTCTGATAGCCGTGGTCAGGTCGGCAGAGGAGGAATACGAT